ACTCAGAAACAGTTCAAGATAATTCCAAGCAAGAGAAACCCTAAGAAACTGATGAAACACACACACAGACACACACCCCCCCCCAAAAAAAAAACAAGAAACCAAAAAACACACACAAAATAAAAGAAAGCTTCCTCTTTATTTTAGCTAAGGAGACTTCAGTATAAAAAACAGTAAGAGTTAATTATCTCAAAAAATTAAAAAGAAAAATACCCAAACTCTAGTCTGTTCCAAGTCTTGGCCATACAACACAAAAGTTTTGCTTGATAACTGCTATTTTAAGTAGAACAGCTACAGGAATGGAATGCACCAACAATTACAGACCTGAAGCTACCATCGCAAAATGAAACTTGGATCATTCGTAATCTTTACTGTCAAAGCAAAGCCAAATAAATTTCACTTAGGTTAATCCCATTAAGATCTAATAGTGTTATCCTTTTTTAAGTGAAAATACATTTAATTAGATCACAGGAATGAAGAGACTCTGGTTCTGCCACTTCACCATCCGTTTCTTGGATCTCATGGACACGACATGAACATAGAAAGGCCTATTTGCTTCTGATACTTTATTTCGTCTCTCTCTTTCTCTTTACCCTTCCTTGCAGCCATATTTACTAGAATTCTACAGTATCTTGACACCAAAGATCCTGCAAGGGGAGAAAATCTCTTCAGAAATAAACATCAGTAAAATGTTTTCCATTACCACCACATCCCTCATCCCTTCAGCAACAGAGGTCTTCATAGAATAAAGCCTTCAGCAATGAATCATGACAAGTCAGTCTGCTGCCAGATCTGATCATCTATTTCTTTTGGATCACTAAATAAAAGCTAACCAGGCAAATTAACTTTGTCCGTAGGAAATGGTAGGACGATGCATTATAAATCTCATCTCAATGCTGAAGAACAGGAGAAAAATCAATGGTGTCATGGTCAAAACGACAAGACAATGGAAAGCCTTGTCCTGGTCTTGAATAAGATCTTTCACGATGGCAAGGTCTTTTACTACGGCAGGTCACAAATAGCCATTTTGGTGGGAAATAATACACAGAGAGAGAGAAGGTAGTATGACATATAATTAAGTGTTAGGCTAACTTTGGGGGTGCTAGAATATAGAATGATCAAAATCAGCTCATGAGAACTTTCTAGCAGATCTTTAATGTGTCTGCATGAAACATAATCTCTATTTGCAAGAGTCAACTCCTTGGCATTTGTGTATTCATCTTGTTTAGTATGATCTAAAAGGATAAACACAAAAAGTTTCAATAAAATTTGAATTCCTTTTCTGGTTCTTCAAAGGTAAGGGTTTTTTTTTAATTCATTCTGAGTACAAGTTTTGTTAGGATTATAAACAGGCGGCACATGAATATTTGGTATTGCTGACAGTGAGTCTGCATATCAACAGAAAACTCAAATTTTCCAATCACATAAATCATATATTGTAATCACATGAAAAATAGCCTTTTCAATTTCCCTTAGTGAGACACACTTTTCAAAAGGCCTAAGAATTAGAGAGCCTCAAAGCCAACACGCCTCTTCAATAACCTGTTGCACAGTGACTATTCCACAAAAATCGTTTGGGAAATACATAAATGTATGATTATTTTCCTAAGAGGCACATTAAATAGTTTACTGTAACAAATCAGGTTTCAAACGTCTGCTATCAATTAAAAACAAATTCTTGAATTGATTAAATTGTTCTCATTTTGGAAAATGAAATTGCATATTTATTTCTGCCACATCTGCCATCAGCAAGAAGGAAAGGACATACAGTAAAATAAACATTGGCACCAAAAGCGCTTACTTCTTCCCCACATTTTCTATTGGAAAAATAAAATTTGTTTTCCAGTAAGATATTTCATTAAAAAAAAAAAAAAATCTGCTACCACTCAAGGCTGGGGTTCTATTTATTTTTAAAAGAGGCCCACGAAACCTCCCAAGTGCAACTCAGATTTACATCTGGCTAATCCTGCAAATGTGACTGACCAAATTCATGCTGTTTATTTCTAATGAGTTCTGTGATTTTTGGATAATACGTGTGAAAGATAGCAAATTACCGCTAGTCAGCAGCATGCAAGCAAAAACTGTCTTGGGAAGCCAGTGTGAGCAAATCTTCCAAGTCAATTTCTAATCACACTTGCCAGCAACTTGGGGGAGAAAGGTGATAATCCCTGCCAAGAAAAATCAGTAGAACTTGTTTCCCTTTCCTTTTTCCATGAACTATTTCAACACTCAACCAACAAATACAGCCCAACCTTTCCTTTCCATAACTTCAGACACTGCAAGGAAGGCTCTGGTCTCGTTGATAGTCTCAGAAAAATTAAAAAGCTTCACACTGCAAAATGTCCTATCAGTCTCTCTCCTTCCTGGAGGTATAGCCATTTACAGGAAGGAGAAAGAAGGAGGTGAAAGAGGGTGTCATTTGCATGCTTTAAAAAATGCATATTCTGCCCAAGACACCTACAGGTGAGTAGATAAGCCATATTCAAATCTCCTTACCTAGACAAAAACTAGCCAGAAAGAGTCTAGAGTAAGTCAGCAGCAGCTCAAAACAACAAACAAAAAACTCTAGAGGTGGCAGGGAAAAAAAACCCCAAACCAGGTTGCTAATATCTTAAGAACCAGAGTTCGCAGAGCACTTACTCGTTTGAAAGCTAAGACCCCTGAGTGCATTCTTGCAGGATATTTTCATCTCGGTTTCCCAACTGAATCCCAAGCCAAACACAAGCCTAGACCTGTGGTTTTGATCCATGGCTGCAATTAGAATCACCTGAAGCGCCTTTAAATCTTGTTGTTACTGGGATGACGCCCCCAGCCCCAGCCCCACCCACAACCCCAATTGAAACCAGAATTTCCTGGGGTCAGGCCAGGGCACCCGTGTCTTTCAGAGACCTCCTGGGTGATTCGACTGTGCTGCCAGCAGTCGAGGACCACAACTTTATAAGTATGCTTTTTAAAAAAGAAGGTAGTTTCTCTATCAAATACATCAGATCTCTAATTTCACTCCCTCTGTCCTGTTCCAGAAAACTACACTCACCACTTCCAATCCCCGCTCTCCTATGCACTTCCTAGCGCAGGCGCAGCCTGTGTGTGCCGCTCTTCACAGCTAGCAATGGAAGCCGGCTTGACCCCATCCTGGTGACCCAGGTGTACGCATACGATATGCTGGGATGTTAAAGACAAATGCAAAATAGGGCGTGTAAAGGGCATAAAATGTTGGTTTTCTCTATACCTGTGGTTCTCTTAACTCTACCATGCATTGGAATCACCTGCAAGGCTTGTGAAGCCACTACACCCCACAATCACTGATTTCCGTCAGGAGCTGTAGGGTCTAATTATTTGCATCTCTTACAAGTTCACAAGTCTTGCTGATGCTGCTGGTCTTGGGCCCACATTTTGAGAACCACTGCTCTAGATTAAATTTCTGGCATCTTGAAACATTTGGAATGCCAGACAGAAATCTGCTTTTGTTAGTATCTCTCTCTATAATTACATTCCAATTGTAATCGGAATATCGAACACTAGTTGGGTATTTGACATGAAGGACTTAACTCGTGTTTGAGGTGTTTTCTGTTTTGGCTTCGGGGCAGCTCTTCGTAATTTTGTTGTTGTTGCTTTCGTTTTGTTTTCTGAGACAGGGTCTTGCTGTGTCATCCAGGCCAGAGTGCAGTGGCATAATCACAACTCACTGCAGCCTTAAATTCTGAGTGCAAGTGATCCTGCCTCAGCTTATCAAGTGGCTGGAACTACAGGCATGTGCCACCATGCCTGGCTAAAAATAAAAATGTAAATTTTTAAAAAACATTTTTTTTTCAGAGATGGGAGTCTCGCTGTGTTGCCCAGGCTGGTCTCAAACTCCTGGGGTCAAGCCATCTTCCCACCTTGGCCTCCTAAAGTGCTGGCATTTCAGTGAACTACCCTACCCAGCCTTAACTACTGTTTTAAGTGCAAAAATGGTGTTGTATTTATATTTAAAACAAAAGTAAGGAGTTCTGGTCATTGTGGTGGCTCACGCTTGTAATCCCAGAAGTTTGGGAAGCTGAGGCGGGTGGGTCATCTGAGGTCAGGAGTTCAAGACGAGCCTGGCCAACGTGGCGAGATCCTGACTCTACTAAAAATACAAAAATTAGCCGGGCATGGTGGCGTGCACCTGTAATCCCAGCTACTTCAGAGGCTGATTGAGGCAGGAGAATTGCTTGAACCTGGGAGGTGGGGGTTGCAGTGAGCTGAGATCACATTACTTACTGCACTCCAGCCTGAGCAACAGAGTCAGACTCTGTCTTAAAAAAAGAAAAGAAAATTCTTCTCTTTAAGATATATATTGGGAAAGACACATACTGGGGAAAAAGAAGTCTAAAACATGCCGACCACGGTGGCTCCTGCCTGTAATCCCAGCTCTTTGGGAGGCCAAGATGGGTGGATCACCTGTAGTCAGGAGTTTGAGACCAGCCTGGCCAATGCAGTAAAACCCCATCTCTACTGAAAATAAAAAATTAGCCGGGTGTGGTGGCAGGTGCCCATAATCCCAGCTATTCAGGAGACTGAGGCAGGAGAATCGCTTGAACCTGGGAGGCAGAGGTTGCAGTGAGCCGAGATCTCGCCATGGTACTCCAGCCTAGGCAACAGGAGCAAAACGCTGTCTCAAAAAAAAAAAAAAAAAGTTTAAAACATGGGAGACAGACTGACATTGGCCAAGTGCCCCAGCCTCCCTTCACAGAGGGTAAGCCTTATCCTGAAGTTAGAGCTTACCACTCCATGCATGTTTTATATCATTACAGTGTTACGATGTACACGTATGAATACCTAAAAATGATTCCAAAAAAAGAAAAAGAGCACAGATAAGAAATGAATCAATCAATCAATGCAAAAAAGGAGAAGAAGGCAGTGGTGGCCATCAGGAAGTCTGCGGCAGCCAGAGAAGGGCAGGCAACAAGCTGTAGCCATGAAGGTGAATCAGGGTTGTCCTTTACCTGGAAATCGTCCTCATCCATGAAGTCTCTTACCTGAATATACTGGGTGTTAACACATCTGGAGTCACCTGAGGGTGCTAGGAGAGAAAGGGAAACTGAGTCAAAAGTTGTGAAAGTAAACTGATGGCGGACACAGTAGGGTAAGGTTTCACTACACATTTCTATGTACTTTGAAGCTCCCCAGAAGAAGATCTGGAGAGACGAGTGTTTTCTACCCTTAAGACTGTCACTGCTCTTGACTGTTCTAGAGCCACAACAGGGGCTCAGTGCAGAGCGCTACATCCTCCTCACACCTGGACTAGAGCTGGAAGCATTCAGTGAGGCACGATGTCCGGACCAGCTCTGCTACTCCTAAGGCATTGCAGGAGTCATTAAGCCTTTCTGGGCTTGGATTTCATTATCTGGAAAATTTACAGGATTCTCTAGAGTGACTCCCAAAATTAATGGAACACTACTACCCTTGGAAAATTACTAGTACTCGCATGTAATGAGAAGAAAAGGAGCTAACACAAATAGATAAACTAGATGCTAGATATTTATTTTGTATAGTTCATTTAGCCTCTGAAACAATTTTGTAAAGCTAGTATCAATAGCATTAGAAGACTAATGCTGGGGCTGAGCGTGTGCAGTAACTTGCCCAAAGGTCACAGAGCTGGTAGCAGCAGAGCCACAGATCAAAATCTGGACCTGGGGCAGGATACGTAGGGGCTCATGCCTGTAATCCCAGCACTTTGGGAGGCTGAGATAGGCGGATCACCTGAGGTCGGGAGTTCGAGACCAGCCTGACCAACATGGAAAACGCCCATCTCTACTAAAAATACAAAATTAGCTGGGTATGATGGCGCATGCCTGTAATCTCAGCTACTCGGGAGGCTAAGGCAGGAGAATCACTTGAACCCAGGAGGCAGTGGTTATGGTGTGCCAAGACTGCACCACTGCACTCCAGCCTGGGCAGCAAAAGCAAAACTCTGTCTTAAAAAAAATCTACACCTGGTTGACTCCAAGAGGTTTTTCCCACAATACCATGGGCCCTCTACTGAAGGCATCCTTTGCTGGTAGAGTCACACCAAAGCCATAGGAAATTTTAACTCCAGATTCTAACACACGTCAGGTTTGTTTTCTGTGCCCAGGCTTCTCTTTTAAAGAAAATGGGCTTTTTGTGGAAATGTACTTGATGATAAAATAACTTCCCAGAAGAATACCCAACACAATTAGCTTATAATATTTCTTTTTACTTAAAAATTTATCTTTCTCTGATACTCCTCTTAAACACACACACACATTTTACAGCGGGGGTTGATGTCTTTTTTTTGAGACAGGGCCTCACCCTGTCACCCAGGCTGGAGGGCAGTGGCATGATCATGGACCACTGCAGCCTGGACCTCAGCAGGTTACGTCTTTATACAAGAAGGAAGCTTGCAAGATTTGCTCTCCTTGAACATTTTTAGAGGCTACACCCCAAAGCACCTGATTCCAAGAGCAAGTATCTTGGCACGTCATGAAAGATTTGACTATTTCCCATAGAGTGGCTTTTGAAAAGGAGAAATAATTGTCTAGAGGTTAGAAAAAAAATCCATGTTCCTATTAGGCCGAGGCAATGAAGCAGCTTCAGCAGGTGAAGACATTGCATGAAGAAACTGGCTTTCCGGGGCTCAAGGTCATTTTTCTCTCCATATAGGGATTAATTGGCAAAACACATTCGTCCAGTGGATCAGGTAACAAGACAACCTATTAGATAGATCAGTGGCCTGATCTAGCACACAGCTGCTCAGCTCCCTCCAGGCCTAAAATAATTCAGCATTATGGACCACCCCTCCCCCATTAAGTATAATTAATATTATGAAATGGAGAAACTAAGCATGGGTAAATAAAATGGCTGACACACACCACGCACAGCAGCAAATGCCAACTGCGCACAGCACACCAGTTCCCGCTGACCTCAAGGTGCTAATGAGGGAGTTTGGCAAAGATTGCATGAAAAAGCCTCCTACACTTACCCAGCCCTAACCCCAGTCCAGACTTCTCCCACTCCGCAGCAGGAGGGCCTTGCTAATTGGCATCTGTAAAACACGTGGCCTGAAATTTGTTGTGGCAGCACACACCTCCATTGCATCCTGACCCACCCACACACACAGACACACACACACACAGATAACACGCACAAACACACAGGCACACACAGACACACACACACACAGACAACACACACACACAGACACACAGGCACACACAAACACACAGACACAAACACACACACAGACACACAGGCACACACACAAACATACACACATACGTGCACAGACAACACACACACACAGGCACACACAAACACACACAGACACACACACACAAACACACAGACACACACAGACAACACACACACAGACACACAGGCACACACAGACACACACACAGACACACAGACACAAACACACACAGGCACACACACACAAACACACAGACACACACACAGACACACACAGACACACACACAGACACACAGACACAAACACACACAGGCACACACATACACAGAGACACACACACACACTGACACACAGACACAAACATACACAGACACACAGGCACACACATACACAACACACACAGACACAAACACACACACAGACACACAGGCGCACACACACACAAACACACACACAGACACACACAACACACACACAGACACAAACACACACGTACACACTACACTCAGATTTCTTAGTGTTTTTTAAAAATCTAAACGTGACAATAAATATAATCTTTAAAATTAAAGTGCAACGTGCCAAACATAAAGGCAGGTGGAGGTGGTTTTGTAAGTGTACATCTCCCTGGAAAGCTGGTGTTAACGACCAGAGTTGGTAACGACAAAGACGCCTGGGGAAAAGAGACCCTCTCATCACATCAGCTGGTAGCTGTGAGGGAAGACGGTTGCTCTGAATTTCCCTTTATACACGGCAACTTCAAAAAAATCCCTATTTTCTTAGAACATCTTTATGTAGAAAAGCCTGCATGCCTTTGAAGCCTCAACACAAAACAAACTAGCGTCTTTACAAGTCCTGTCCGGCCACCCAGGGAGAACCAAATAGTATTTTTTTCTCCAGTAGGCCACCCCAGGATACCACAAATAAAAATGAAAAGGAGGAATTCGTCATGTAACCGGGGTGTATTTTGCTAGTATAGTCATTACACTGTTTTAATCTAAATATTATGGTATATTTTTAACTGGCAAAGACCAAGATCTAATTATTCATTTATTGGACAGAAAAAGTTCTGAAATAGCAGAAAACAGGTTAAAATCTAGGAAACAGCAGAGAAGGGAAAGATAAAGGAGTTGTTTTTTTGTTTTGTTTTTTTTTTCAGAATCCCAAGAATTGAGCAGAGGTTTTTTTAAAAGTGCTGATGTTCAGAATGGTAGGATGGGGAGCCAGAGCCCTGAATTCCATAGCACAGAAGCCAGAGATGAAAATGCCCAAGGGCTTAGGCTGCAGGAGACATCTGGGGAGGGGAGTTTCCTCAGCACCACATGGAAGAGCTTAGGAGCATGGAAGGATGTTAGAATCGTAAGAAGGTCTTAGAGTCATAAACATCCTGAAATGTACTCCTCTGATCACGTCTCCACTCTGCACAAAATCTCTTAGGGGCCAAATAAAGACCACACCCTGTAGCCAGACAATAAAAAGCCTCCTCAAATGCCAAACTGTCATCCCAGGCTCCGTTTCCACTGCTTCCATGAAGGGACACTGTGCTCCAGCGCCACCCAAGTCCATGCTGTTTCTCAGGTACTCAGGGCACTTCCACCCGGTTGTGCTGGGGCACTGATGGTATTCTTTGCCTGAAATATCCTGGGCCAAGTGTGGTGGCTCACACCTGTAATCCCAGCCCTTTGGGAGGCTGAGGCAGGAGGATCACTTGAGCACAGGAGTTCAAGACCAGCCTGGGCAACATGGTGAAACTCCATATCTACAAAATTACAAAATTAGCTGGCCATGGTGGTGCATGCTTATGATTCCAGGTACTCTGGAGGCTGAGGTGGGAGGATCGCTTGAGTATAGAAGGTGGAGGTTGCAGTGAGCTGATACTACAGCAGTGCACTCCAGCCTGGGTGACAGAACAAGACCCTGACTCAAAAAAAAAGAAGGGAAAGAAACGAGAGAAGGGAAGAAGGGGGCGGGAAAGTAGGGGAGGAGAGAGATATCCTGCTCTCCTCATCTTTCTACTGACTCAATTTTTTTTTTTGAGACAGAGTTTCACTCTTGTTGCCCAGGCTGGAGTGCAATGGTGCGAACCTCCACCTCCTGGGTTCAAGCGATTATCCTGCCTCAGCCTCCCAAGTAGCTAGGATTACAGGCATGGGACACCATGCCTGGCTAATTTCGTAGTTTTAGTACAGACGTGGTTTCTCCATGTTGGTCAGGTTGGTCTTGAACTCCTGACCTCAGGTGATCTGCCTGCCTCAACCTCCCAAAGTGCTGGGATTACAGGCATGAGCCAAAGTGCCCGGCCACTGACTCAATTCTTTAAGACAAAGAGATGAAAGGGGGCTGACAGACCTCCTCTTGATCACAACTCTGCTGCAATGCAGCCAGGTGGCTTTGGGCCAGTTACTTAATCTCCTTTCTGGCCTCAGTTTCTTCACCTGCTAAATGGGGATAGTAAAGTGAAGAAAATCCACTGCTGTGAACATTGAATGAAATGAGGATGCTAATCAACTAAAGATGTTAATAAATGCCAGTTTGCTCTCCTCAAACACAAGTGCCACCTTCACTCTTAGGCATTCCTTAACATCTGCAGCCACAACTCAGCTCCCCTTTCTTGAAATTCCCATCACACAACACGTTAACCGCAGCTCTGTTTGGTTCTTGGTCATTCTCTACTCACATTTTTGCCATGTTTCTATATGATAGCATACCTACCAGACTGTGTGCTTTCGGAGGGCAGAACCCATGTTTAATTCATGTTTGGATTCTTTCCAATTGTCTTGCTCAAACTGTAATCAAACAGTAAGAATCATAGGATTCTAGAATTAACAGGATCCTTTAAATAACCTAGACAAAACTCGCCATTGTGCAGATAA